ATACCATAGCACTGAACAATCAATGATGTTTTAATTTTACAATAATTCACTGCCTGAAAGTAAATATAAATCAATTAGCATTATACAATACAGCATTATTATTTTGATTTAAATAAAAACTACCAGCCTCTTTAAAAAAGGCTTTTCCTGGATTACTTGAATTATTTAAACTTTTTAATGCTACATCTTTTCTTCCAAAATAACTAAATTCTTTTTTATTTTCATCATAATCATTAATCATTCCTCTTGTCCATGTAGCAGTATAAATTGAACTAAATCCACCTTCTGTCAACTTTTTTACTTTTTTAAATTGCTCAAAAGGTATCCATTCTAAAATAAAGTTTGGCAGAGATGATTTCATTTGACATTGTTGAATAAAATCATCAATTATGTTATTTCCAGATGTCCATGTAGTGAAAAGACTCTGCAATTGTAAATTAATACAACCTTCACAGAATCTATCAGAATATCTTATCAATTTACAGCTGTTACATTCTTTTGGTTTGCCTTCTTCATATGTTACATTATTTAATTCAAACCAATAAATAAAATTTTCCTTACAAAATTCTTTTTCATTTTCAGAAAGCTCCTTGTTTTTTTGGACTAATGAAAAAAAATAATCTTTTCTACTTTCTTTATTAGAACTAGCCACTGCATTATTATACAATTCATTGTCAGTTTTATATACAAATTCCTTTCTTTCTTGTGATAATGATGATAATAATTTATAATATGGCATTATAAAAAAATATAAGAAATAAAATTTGACTTGGTGTTTTAATGAATAGAATGGAGTTTTTTTTTTGAGAATAACGGTTACATTATTTCCTTTTCCATTGCAGAGAAAGACGTGCAACAAACAATTTCCTCGTAATGTCATCATTGCATACATTAACTTCCTTGGTGATAATAATTCATATTTTTTTGTTATAATGGTTTTTTTTAACAATTAAGTTTATTTGATTGCCTTTGGATTTTTCTCTGACAGGATTAATTAAGAAAGAATTAAATATAAATTTTTGAAAAATTGAAAAATAAAAATTGCGTTATTTAAAAAACAATTTCACCACTAGTGATTGATTTATCATGATTCAACAATAAAAGAATTTCAGAATTCTTTGTTTTCTTCAAATTAAAACTTACAAAAAATATGTACCAATATCTGTCTTATGTTCTATGTAAAGTCATTCTACATGCCAGTATTGATCAACCTATGCATCTGGTTGTTAATCTCTGTATTGCCAAGTCAGATATATATTCCAAAACTTCAAAAATAAAATTTATTAATATTACCTCATTAAAGAAAAGAAAAGAAAAGAAATAAAAAGATAGAGACAAATAGAAAATTAATTATGCACGAGATTAGTATGAATTCATTGTTGGATATAGATTTATTATCATTACGAAAATATAAAATTCGAAGACAAGGACAAGAATAAGGACAGTTTGTTATGATATTATATATGATGATTATTATGACGATACATGAAGTCAAGAAAATTACAACGTTATTTATACACACTAAAAATGTTAAATCATCTAGTTCGCTGTTCTAATTAAATGTATTCCTTGAAAATAAACAAGACCTTTCTTTTAAGAATGATTCCAAGTTCTTTTTAAAGTGAACAAATGATTTTGAATCCAGAGTTAAAGAAATGTTACAATTTAGAATGTTAGAATAATCTTTCTTGATAATTCCGCGAGTTAATTATTTTATTATTATTATTATTATTATTATTATTGGTTTATTACATTCATTTCATTTATTGATCCATAAATTACTATTACTATTACACGTAGTTATAACTTCAAAGTCAAAATTCAAAAAAAAAACAAATTATGAAATGTAATAAAAGAATAGTAAAAAGAAGAGACATTTTTATTTTGAAAAAAGAGTGAGTACGTGGAAAAAAAGTTTCATAATAATAAATTAATATTTAAATTATAACATTTGTAAACTTTCCATGATAATTATTCTTCTCGCGTCATTGCAATATACACACAACAATGATGATTCTTTATTCATCTCCGGGACACACATTTTTACATAATAGAACTTTTGATAATCCTATTTTATCATTATTGCTGCTTGTATCAAGTGTTTTTATTTAAGTCAAATGTTTTAATTATTTCAAGTGGTTTTACTTATATCAGGGGCTTTTACTTTAGTCAAATAGTCAAAATGTCCCTGGTGAGAAACTACCTTTAGTCAATACTTTAGTTACGTCAATGACTAAAATCAAAAGTTTCGTCATACATCATTAATTCCTACTCTCACTTTTTGTTCCACTATATTATCTGATCTGAAATAATATCAATGTAAATTTTTTTTTAACTTTTAATTCAAGAGTAGAGTGTAGCCATGTGATTTTATATAATGATCGGCGAGGATAAAATAATTCTTTTAAATCACTTGCCAATCATAAAAAAAAAATTTTGTTGTTAGGTTATTTCAAAAAAAGTTAAAGACAATAGTAATAGTAAATTTTCTATTTAATATTAAAATAAATATAAATAATAGATTTTAAATGAATAATAACCACATTATTAAATACCAAAAGAAAAATTTTAATTCTTTGCTAATGATCAAGGTTTACTCGTGTAATTTGGATCATTAAAAACATTTAAAAAATAGCAGGATTTTTCCAAATTTGGAGATCGCTTCTAGAAATTTTTGTTGATCAATTCATATACGCTACAAATGAGTAGAAAACGCCTACACCCCCCGTTATGTTATGTCGTTTTTTTTATATAAAACTTTAAAAAATAACTGTTAAATAATATTCTTTTGGAGATATAGTTTCATAATTCCCACTAATCTCCAAAGCTTTACAAAATAGTTTTTTCAGAAATAAAACTTGAAAAAGTAAATGCATGTCTGCCATGTAAAATTTTACTCCGTGATTAGTTCAGTGTTTTCCGTTATTAAACTCAGTTTTTTCCGTTTATATTAATAAATTAAAATATTAATATACATTTCCGTGTTTTTTTCCATAATAATAATAATAAATGTATCGTATGGAATCCATAGTTCCGTTTTTTCATTAAAAATACTATGGCACTTGAGCGTTTTTTATATGTGGAATTTTTATGGGGGAAAGGATATAAGTATTGAGTCTTGGAATAAATTCTGGGATAAAAATTTTGTGGAGCGTTTTGGTTTACCTGAACCTCGAAAGCATTTCTTGCGATTGTCTCAATTTCGCAAGCAAGGTTATGATGAAAACAGTGCAATAGAAGGATTAAAGGCCAAGGACATTGTGCAATGGGAAGATACTTGTTATAACACTAAAGATAATTTTGAGGATTCATTAGCAAAGGACATACGTAAAACATATTCGGCAAATTATTGGGAAGCTATACAGGAGCTTTCCCAATCATTGGGTTTTACTGGTATAGATGATGAACGAATTCTCTATGATGATCAAGTGAAAGTTGCATTTGATCTCGTGAAAGGTTTATAGAAATTCGAAATCAATCTTTATTGCTCTTTGGCTTTAAGTCTCGTGCAAAAGAAGCACCAGATCTTAAGTCAGCTATAAAAGCAATTAATGCAATTGTTGGTAATTATTGTGGGTATACCATAAAAAGTAAACGAAAAAAAATAGGACATAAGGAACAGCGAGTTTGGGAGTATTCATACCAAATTAACCGCCGACCATATAAGGGTATTGGTTTTGGAGATAAAGGTGCACCAATGCTTCCGCCATATAAGTCAAAGACAGCTGACGAGGTTCAGGAACTCTTCGATGTAATAGATGATCCCGTTATCGAAGAGAATCAAGCTCCGGTTCCAATTCCGATTATATTGTAGAACCAGATTATGTTGTAAAGTAATCCGTATGGAAAAAAATATCTATTGACTTATAATATATGTGATTTTGCCTATCACTGTTCAGATTTTTTCGTTGTCCTATATTAAGTATTTGAAAAATCTAAATCGAAAAATAATGTTTAGCTTTGTCCATTGATTGGATTGGGGCACTCTTCATTGAGACAAATATCGGCGAAGCAGGCACGGCCAGTTTTTTTACTTTCATGCCAGACATGCTTGTAAATTTCATCATGAATCCTACATATTCCGATACGAGAATTGGTTGGCTCGTTACAAATAGGGCACAATTTTTTGGGACGTGATCTAAAATGTCTAGAGCAACCTCTGCTACGCCAGCATCCTTTCCCACAGATCGTTCCATCACTCTTGATATATTGGCAGGATAGACGATGTTCCATATGA